GCCAACCTCCTTCAACTTCATCTAGAGAGAGTTATACTTCTTCACCAAAGAGCTAACTTTGGTGTGCAAGATTCATAATCAGATTGCTGATATTGAGATAAGATTGTAGCTCGTTGACAACTGATGTCAATCATCTTTCCTCCCTGTAAGATTAAGTTCTTCCACCAGCCTCTCCCAAGATAGGTTGAAATAGACAAAAACAACCTTCACCGTGTGATAAACAAGGGATGGAAATAAAGATAGATCACCCGCATCTAGTGAACCTCGTAGTGTTGAATGAACAAAGACTTCAAACATGGGGTAGGACCCCGGGTGAGTAGAAGCTTTGGATCGAAAATGAGCATAGACCCACTTGGAGTTTTCCTTTTTCTAGGATTATTGGCCAGACCCAAAAAAGGAGGAGATGCAAAATTCATAGGCAAAGTTCCTAAAGTTCTAGTAGTAAAAGACTGTGATTGGGAATGCTGGGAACAAATTAAGCACTTCCCAAAAAGAAGAGACTTTTTAAACAAAGAAGTGAAAATATTGACTTATTCGGAATAAATTGAAGTCCGTTATCTTAAAATGTGGGATTAGAGAAGCTTAGTCTCTCCCTGACTTCACAAGATTCGGAGTTTAAATCGAGAATATGTATTGCTAAAAGGTGAAGTTCCCTATTGGCTTGAACTTGAAAAGGAGTCAACATTTTTTTTGCACGAACATAATTCAATATATAATAATAGTAGCATAATGGCAAACCACGAAAAGGGTAAAAACACTCATAGCAAGACAAAACCACATCGGGATAAGGATCATTAGGATGCAGCATATAGTTTTCATGGGCAAAGAAAAGTCCTTCCTTTCAATCGTGAACTTTGTTGGAAATTGTTATGAGCTTTGGACACATCTTGGAGGAGTAAGAAGTAAAATAATGATACCCATTTTGGGGGTAAGTGATAGTCCCTGTCTTTACCAAATTGTAAATTGAAAGAAGTTCTCCCCTTACACTCATAAAATATTGCCATAGTCTACCCAACAAAAATGTGCCCGACATGCATAAGAACTACGTCACACATTATTTCATCTTGATAGCTAACAATCGAAAAGCTCACCAGCACCCTTTTATTCACCTTAATCTTTCCCCATTCATTCAACCATTGCAGACAGTAAGGTTTAAGATGTTTTAACATGGTTAACCAAATTTTTCAACAAGTGTAGTGCAAGCCACACTAATACAACTACTCCCATCTATAATCATGCTACATACCTTGTTGTTGATGTGGCACCTTGTATGGAATATGTTCTCTCTTTGTTGCTCCAAGTCATCTGCCTTGATTTGTGTACTAAGAGCTTTTTCGTAACTAAGAGTTCACCCATTGCATACTCCACCTTTTCTTCATCACTAGGCTCTTCCAATTTCGACATGTCATCATAGTCCTCTTCACTATCGCTTACCACTTCTCCTTTGTCTCTCAAAATCAATACCCTTTTGTTCAGACATTGAAAAGCAAAGTGTTTCGTCTCAAACACCTAAAACATTTGATGTCTAGACTCCTAGATGGCTATGAGTCCACTTTGGATGTGACCTTCTAGCACTTTCCTCTTTCTCCTTTGGTAGTTCAGCTTTGCTCTTTGAAACAGCTTTATCTCCCTTGTTGTTATCCCACATCAATTTCAAAGAAGAATTAGAACCCGATGGATACCTAACTGACCCCTTCCTTTTTAGTTGCCTCTCTACCTTCATAGCCACATGTAGCATATCGTCCAACTCCACATAATGTTGCAACTCCACCACATTAGCTATTTCCCGATCCAAACCATTCAAAAAATCTGCCATAGTGGCCTCCCTATCTTCCTCAACATTCACTTTAATCTTCATTATCTCAATCTCTTTATGATTGTCTTCCACACTCCTAGGTCCTTGTAGAAGCTTTGTAATTTTTGATGAAGCTCCATATAGTAATGACTAGGCACGAACCTCTTCCTCATGATAGCCTTCAATTTTTCCGATTTATTAATTGGCCTTTCACAATTCCTCCTAGATGTCACTACTTGATCCCACCAAGTAATAGCATAATTAGTAAACTCAAGTACAACAATCTTTATCCTCTTTTCCTTTGAGTAATTGTGGCAATCAAGTATCAATTCTATTTTCTTTTTCCATTCCAAGTACAATTTCAAATCACTCCTTCCTTTGAATGACAAAATTATCATTTTGAAATTGTCCACATTCCCATCAACTCCATTTCCAATAGGTTATCTATCTCTCCTTTCATGCCTAACTCATCTATCCCTTATTCTCTCTAACAAGGCATCCACTATTGCATACTCATCCATACCACTACTTCATAATCACTATGATTCTCTACCCTAGACTCCCGCCTACCTTGCCTCTTTACATTAGGAACTCGCTTGCGTAAATTAGCAAGCAATGGGTCTTGCCTCTCCATCCACACCTCCTACCTATCCCTCACATATTCAAACAACCTCTCAAATTAGTGTATCAACTCTTCTGACATGTCAACTAGGTTGTTGTTCCTGCTTGAGGTAGAATCCTTCCTATCAAACATCCTAAATCTAAAGTAACATATACCCCACATGTATACACTAGTGTATCACTCAAATTAGATTTTTCTCTCTATTAGTCTCAACATCCTAAATTCTTTCACTCAAGTGCTTCAAAGAACTAATCCGAACTCAGCCAAGTCTTATTCTCGAAAAATTCAAAATAGGATGTGAGTGAAATTTATATTTTTAGAAGACTCAAGAAAGAAGGAAAAGAATATGACACTTTTGAATGGGATCTATTAATTCAAGAAAGTAGTCATTGAATTTTGGGTTGAACATGAAAATTCGACTACAATATCAGAGAAACATTAAAATGGATTTGGATGCTAAATGAGCACAAATACAACTTTTGAATTTTCTTGGGAACTTTTATGGATTAAAGACTCGAATGGATTAAGAGCGGGAATACAAAAGACTCAAGAAAAAAGGAAAGGATATAACCTCGATTTTTGGAGCCTAAGCTCTAATGCAAATAATGTAGCAATTGAAGCTATGAAACCCACACGAGATTGAATCACAATCCAAAAAAGTCAAGAAATCAAAGATTTGAATTTGATTCAAAAATAGTAAACCGAGTAACCAACAATCACTAACAATATATTGACCCCTTGATTACAAGACTCAAGAATCTTACAACAATTGTTTAAATGCCACAAGAAAATAATTATTGATAAGTTCAGGATTTGTTCAGTAAAGAACAACGAATTGAAAGCAATAATATGCTCACAAAAGTAATCTCACAATTGATATTAATGAATGAATGTTTACAATGTAGAATAATGAGTCCTATGTATAGAAAACCCATAAAACCTAGTTTAAAAGGAATAAAAGTCTAAAAGATTACAAAAGATACCAAAAAGTAGAGTTCTAACATAATTAGGAAAATTCGAGAAAATTGAAAAAGCATGCATCCAAGATATACTATGTGGCCGCATAGTACTAAACTATGCGATCTACTAAACTATGTGATCGTATAGTTCATGACATTACGTGAACAGGATTTTCTGTTAGAGGCAATGCTGCTGCATGCATGCATGATGAAACTATGCAGTCGCATAATACTAAAACTTCAGCTCCTTCCCGAACCCAACATAAAACTTGCTTCTTTGCTTGCTATGAACAATGTCTTGTCCACCATAGCTTGAATGAGTAATTTCATCGCTTCTTTGACCCTCTTTACTCATGATCGAGTCATTGGAATTCTTCAATGATCAATGGATCTTTGCCCTAACTTGCCTTCGCGCGTTGGATCACATCACAAGGTGAAAGGCAACACGCGAGGAGAACCAAGAAACAAGAGGCTCGCATAAAAATTTCAAATTGTTCACCACATACAGGTTGTCAATAAAAGGCACAGGGAAAGTGAATAAAGGATGACTTTTAATTAAAATATATTAAGAAGCAACCAATAAGAAGTCTCCACCTAGCACAAAGCAAAAATGATCAAACTACCCCAATGTAAGGATGGCAACGGGGCAGGTCCGGGTCAACTATTCTTACCCCCGTCCCGTCGGGTATTTTTATTATCTTATCCCATACCCATACCCAGTTAAAGCAGGACGGGGTGGGTGGGGTAAGTCTCCTACCCCATTTATTTTTTCTATTCATTTTTTTATTTTTAATGTCCTTAGTTAGTAAATAGTATTATTTTTTTACCAATTTGTTAAAAACAACTTATGTTCTCTTTAAAAATGATGATAAATCTATTATTTTTGTTTGATAAAAAATTAAATTTGAAATTAATATTAAACCAAACGGGTGATGGGGCCGGGGACTATGTTTTCCGTACTCGTCCCATACCCACTTCGGGGCAATGACTCTTGCGCCCATACCCATCCCATGTACCCGGTTAGGAGGGAATGGGGCAAGACCCCATGAATATCAGGTTGACCAGGTTTTTTTGCCATCCCTACCTCAATGCCTGGAGGGAAATATATAAATACCCACGATTGAAGAAGAAGGCATGTAATTCAAATATCTCACTCTTAATTAGCTATTTCTCCTCTGGTTCTAGTTGAGGAATCTAGACTAGTGGATTTAGGAGGTATAACTCATAGTTATGTGAGAGGATTTATTGATTGCATTTATATTTGATCTTTGATTGTAATTGTTTCATCAATGAAATTGTTTGATTCAATTTTTACCATCAACATCCTAACTTGGATATTTATTTCTACATATCAACGACGTGTATTGTAAACCTTCAACGCCAAATTTCAATATTTTATTATTCTCAATCTGAAAAATTTTTTACTATACAAAATGGAAATTTGGGGAATGCATGCTTTGGCCAGTATGAGTCACTCCCAGTTGCCTATAAGGGTAGGTATTCAAGTATCTACCAATCCATTAGCCAAGTTTCAAGGTAGATATTCTGAATGCAATTAGAGGCGTTACATAATTTTAAAGCTCAAAACAGAAACTATATATTAGTGAATGATTCGTGTACTGACCAGGATATAGAGCCCAGAGGCAATGATGATGGTCCGGTACCGACCAAGAAAAGAATCCGCCACAAAAGCACCCAAAAGTGGCAAAATCATAGACGTGCCGGACCACGCATTCACATTCTCCGCCGCAGTTGCGGTGGATTGGCCCAACGGACCCGTCAAATAGCTTATCAAATTCGAACTTATTCCACAGTACGCAAATCTCTCAGCCACTTCAACGCCTAACAAATCCAAAATATAAATAAAGTACTGCAAAAAATGCTGTAACCTTTTCAATGGTAAATGGGGCAACATATAGTGAACCTATGATGAAGAAAGAGGACTTCCAACCACCGGATAGGGATCGGGTAACAGGGCAGCCTTTGAAGTCGACGTAGCCATGAACAACGTCGTCCAACAGCAGAGCTTCGGCATCCAAAAGGTGGGTTCCGGCGGCGGGCATGGCCATATCTCTAGAGCTCAACAACAAGTAGATTTTAAGCAGGGAAACTTACATTTTTCTGATTTATTTAAAAACGGGGCAAGCAATTGAATTGATGTGACTGTTCTTCTACTTCAATCTACTTTAACACGCAATTGTCTAGTCTTTCAAACAGTTATAGTTGGCATAAATTTGTAAACATGAAAGAGATTGCAATCGGAAAAACATGGCATTATTCTGATTTCATTCATAACACAAAAAGTGTTAAAAATTTGATTTTTTTTCCTTTAAATATGGATTTTGATGTGATTGTGTTCGTCTACTTCAATACAGACACAAAAAGTTTTGCATGAAGCTCCATCAATGGAGTATTTTATAGCTATACATGCGTAGATGTGATTCGGTTGAAAGCTCGGCCAAAAATGGAGCATGGAAAATTAATTTGAAATTTAGGGACAATTACAACTTTGACACTCAACCTTTTCAAAATATAGCAATCAGGTCCCCAAGCTACGATTTTTGTCTCTACAGGATAGAAATCGTTTAATGAGACGTGGAACTCTCACGCATTAGGGAAATGACAATTATTTTTGAAGGATATAACTTCACACTTGATATTACAATCATAATTTCGTGTCCCAACTCAATATCTAAACATACTAGAAAACGTAATCTTTAGAAAAATAGCATCTTTATTTGTTCGCTAATGATCTAATACTATTTTGATTGTTTTCAAAACTCAAAAGGTTAAATAAATTCATGGGACGTTTGGCTACCAACTTATAAATGGTTTATAAATTAGTCAAGTCAAACATTTATCAATAATTGGCATGTAATTAATTAGGCACGAGATAATAGTAATCTTCTAGCAAAAACGAAGAAAGAAAATTAACATGCATTCCTAGGACAAAATGTAATGTGATCAGCATTAGAGAAACATTTAAAAATCACCAAAATAAACAATTGTCAGCTCCATTTCACATTCTTTTGAATGCGTGTGAATAACATTTTACAATTATGTTAATCTGTTAGATAGATTTTGAAGCTTCTAGCCCCTTCAATCTTAAACCATGTTGGTGACGTAGTACAAGAGATATTGCATGAACTTTATTTGATTAATTTAATTAAGGCATAAATATGTTTTATTTAATTAAGGTGAAATTTTATGTTAGGAGCTTAGGGACCAAGAGAGTAATTTTTAGAATTTGAGGAAATTGAAAAATAAATATACAATTTTCTCCAAATTCTTGGTATTTATTGTAGAATCCAAATGAAATTGACATATCAAAATTTTCAATAATTCTACAAGTACAGGAAATTCACACAGAACTCGTACAGGATTTTTAAAAATGTGACTTGACAATTCTTTAACTAAGGCAGATGAAAAACAAAATGAATTAGGATAATACCACATCATTTCTTTTGAATTCCTAGGAAGAATTTCCTGTACGTATAGCAGGATTCTAAAATTTTCAACATCCATGACTTTTATGGTAACAAGTATCAATCTTATTCCTCGAGCAGAAAATGGTAGAAAATGACAATTAGAGATATAATTCCAATAAATTATCTATCTCATACTCCATCTACAACTAGCTGACCTAGAAGTTTTACGTTTTGCCTAGAACTTTATTCTACAAAAGTCCCTTTATAGGACACTGATAAATTTCTCACAATTTTTAACAATATATTTCTTTGAAATAATAAATTGAAAACCTAAATAAACATATAAAAGATGTGTTAAATCACATATCTCCTCAAGTGGGGTGATAAGTGCATATTATGGCTTTTCATTTAATTATTTATGATTTATTGAGTGGATATTTACTTAATATTAGGTTAAATTATATTAACTGTAGGTAAACCCTAAATTTGGAGAAATTAGAGTGAAATAGGTGAAACTGGAGTATAATTGAAGTTGATTCAAAGTGCTTGAAGATTAGCCAGATTGAAATTTGTCATTTGGAAATATTAAGTGGGACAATCAAAGGTGAGTAACAAGTTTCGAGAGTTAAATTCAGCAAATAAAAAGTTTGAGGACTAAATTGAAAAAAAAATCTAAACTTTCTTCGGGTCAATAGTTAATTATTTAGGAATGTAGAGGACTACATTCTTAAATAAACTTGATTATAGTCAATAATCCTCTACATTGTGCAGAACCTAACTTGATTATATCTTCTATATCGTCCACACTAACAATCTATCATTCCCTTCCAAATGGTTATTTTAGTAAATAACCACACGAAACCGGTTAAAAACTTGAAAGAGTAATTCAAATAGATCTAGAGAATACATGCAGCATTTGTGGACAAGCCAAAATTAGTTAAGAAACGGATCTCTTTGGTAAGTTTCATTGTCAATAATGTCAAATAGGTTTTTTCTTCGTACACCTTACCTAGACCTATCGAATCACGAAAGGCATTTCATGCAATATTCGAGGATAAGAACCAAAATTATTGTTTAAGGAATAAAATGAGCAAATAGAAGTTCAATGACCTCTACTATCGCAACTATGAAAATTTCAATAGCAATCCCAACATTGTTAGATCATGTGTTCACACCAAATACTACGGTGCAATCTCAAGGCGGTCCCTTAGTTAAAATTCAGCAACCCAACATTCCTATTATGACTTATAGCACCCGTTTGGCTCCCATTTTTTCAAATTAAAATGAATGTAATAGTAATTTTTTTTAAATGAGAGGTTGAAAAAGAAAGAAAAATTTTCGATTTATATATAATATTATTTTATAAAAAATTGTGTGATTAAAAATATGAGAGACAAAAATGAAATTTACTTTAATTGGTCAAACGCGGCTTAAAATTTCAAATCTTACATTTTCCGATTTATTTTAGAACAGAGCAAGCAATTGAATTGATGTGACTGATCTTCTACTTCAACTAACTTTCACACGCAAGTGGCAAATCTTTCAAACGGTTATATATATAATATATGAAGGTCAATAACCTCCCCAGTTGGCATAAATTTGTCAACATGAAGGAGACTGCAATCGGAAAAACAGGGCATTATTCTGATTACACTCGTAACCCAAAAAGTTTAAAAGAATTGATTTTTTTTTTCCTTTAAATATGGATTTTCATGGGATTGTGTTCGTCTATTTCAAGACAGACACAAAAAGTTTTGCATGAAGCTCCATCAACGAAGTATTTTATAGCTATGCATGCGCAGGTGTGATTCGCTTCAAAGGCCAGTCAAAAAATGGCTTACGGAAAATTAATTTGAAATTTAGGGAAAATTACAAGTTTGACACTCAACCTTTTCAAAATATAGCAACCAGGTCCCCAAGCTACGATTTTTGTCTCTACAGGATTTTTGTTTGCTCATGATCTAATACTATTTTGATTGCTTTCAGAACTCAAAAGGTTAAATAAATTTATGGGATGTTTGGCTACCAACGTACAAATGTTTTATAAATTAGTCGAGTCAAACCTTAATCAATAATTGGTATGTAATTGTTTAGGCACGAGGTAATTGTAATCTTTGAGTAAAACAATGAAAGAAAACCAACATGCATTCCTAGGACAAAATGTAACGTGATCAGCATTAAAGAAACATATAAAAACCACCAAAAAAATCAAGTGTCAACTTCATTTCACATTCTTTGAAAACGTGTGAATAACCAATTTCAATTACGTTAATCTGTTAAATAGATTTTGAAGCCTCTAGCCTCTTCAATCTTGAACCCTGCTGGTGACGCAATACAAGAGATATTGCGTCAGCTTTATTTGATTAATTTAATTAAAGTCTAAATGTGTTTTTATTTAATTAAGGTAAATTTTTATATTAGGAGCTTAGGGACCAAGAGAGTAATTTTTAGAATTGAAGAAATTGAAAAATGAAATATAGAATTTTCTCCAAAATTCTTGGTATCAAATGAAGTTAATATATTAAAATTTTCAACATCCAAGACTTTTATGGTAACAAGTACCAATCCTATTCCTCTAGCTGAAAATGGTAGAAAATGACACCTAGAGATATTAATTCAAACAAAATGTCTATCTCATACTCCATCTACAACTAGCTGGCCCTAGAAGTTTTACTTTTCGCCTAGAACTTTATGCTACAAGAGTCCCTTTATTGGAAACTGATAACTTTCTCACGATTTTTAACAATATATTTCTTGCAAATATTAAGTTGAAAACGTAAAGAAACAAATAAAAGATGTGTTAAATTACATATCTCAAGTGGGGTTATAACTGCATATTATGGACTTCATTTAATAATTATGATCAACTGAGTGGATATTTATGTTGAATTATATTAATTGTAGGTAAATCCCTAAATTTGGAAGAAATTAGTGTAAAATAGGTGAAATTGGAGTATAATTGTGAAGTTGATTCAAAGTGCTTGAAGATCAACCAGGTTGAAATTGGTCATTTGGAAGAATTAAGAGAGAAATCAAAGGTGAATAAGAAGTTTTGAGAATTAAATTCAACAAATGAAAAGTTTGAGGACTAAATTGTAAAATTTAGTAACATGCTTTGGGTCGATAATTAATTATTTAGATATGTAGAGGATTACATTGTGAAGAGCTAAACTTGAAGACATTTCATGCAATTTTTGAGGATAAGAAACCAAAATTGTGTTTTAAGGACCAAAAAGAAAAACTGGAAGTTTAGTGACCTCTACCGATTGCAACTATGAAAATTTCAATAGCAGTCCCAACTTTGTTAGATTGTGTGTTCACACCCAATACTACGGGGCAATCTCAAGGAAGTCCCTGACTTAAAAGTCAGCAACCCACCATTCCTATGATGACTAAAATTTCAAATCCTAACACTTTTAGACACGAAATAAGACTTAATCTTGACTTTATAAATACGCATCTTAGTCCAACAATTGATTACATTTGTAAGGATTAATTATATGCAAGCGAGATAAGCACCTAGGGTTTCCAATCTACAGTTCCTTCATACAAGAGAGCCAAAGCCGAAACTTTTGGTTTATAAACTCATACTCGTTCAAAGTTTTGTAGAAACCTCATACAAAACACATTCAAACTTATTTTAATACATCGATTTTTTGGATTGAAAAATAAGCAGAAGAATCAAAAGAGGGAAAAAAATCAAAATCAAAAAGTAATTGAATAGATACAATATTCAAGATTATTTTTCATATTCTTTCCAATTAATAAATTTTGAATGATGTTGTATCAATTATTTTTTGTACTTCTAATTAATTTGATGCATGGCTAACTGTTATGAAGCGAACTTCATGCCCCCTAAAATTCTCAAGTATGAGAGAAAGAGAGACACACAAAAGCATCTCACCAAATATATAACGCAAATGAGCCTCAAAGGAGCCTCATCAACATTA